GTATATATAACTCTCTTAACTTACAAAGGTTATATCCGAAATTGTAATGAAGTTATTTTATTCCTTCGAACAAACCTACACCTTTATGCAGTGCATATTATATGTGATATTACTAAAAATTTCATAAGAGAATTTAGTAAATATGGTCAGTGACTTAGGAAAATACTTGATTGTTAAGGAAGACATAAAACTTGATTACAAGTTTTTTGAGATAATCTTACTTGATAAGTAGAATTTTCTTAATTAAATTGAAAAACACTCAACACAATGAAGTCACTGTAAACATGGAAGGTTACTACACACGGGAGTCATCTCCAACCCACTACATAATTCATATTTGATCAGCTAAGCGATTCACTTAAAAATACAAATTTAACCCTTCAATTACAGACATTTTCTATGATCTATATCATACCATAACTTGACTAGTTATTTCAGTACCGTGGGATATTTCAACTTAGAAACACAATATTTTACCAGTATGAGATGATTTATTTCCTGATTGCCAACTGTAAAAGTACGCAGGATTTAGATAATACAAATGTGACGTTACTAAAAAATTAATGCTAAATTGAATTTAAGGGCGAAACGTGAACAATGATCCAATCCCTTTTTTGGAAACAGATATTACTTGAGAGACTGTTTTCGATAATTTAATGTATAAAGAATCAAATGTCACGCCATTAAAAAAATTTATTATGATTAATTATTCCCAGCATTGTCTTTGTTTCGTTCTGAAATATTTCACTACCAATGAAGTAAGGAATGTTTTAATTACTATTAACACGTGGGAAATGTCAATGAAGTGGATAAATGAAGTCTACCTATCTACTTTGAGTACATTATTGTCAAAGCTGAATAATTTACAACTTTGACAAATTGGATGGAAACATTGACAGAACAAAAGGTTAACTACTAAAGGCGAAAGGATGTGGTCTCATGTTTACAATTTTGTGCGCATGTACAGTAGAATCACAGATAATGCGAAAATTATTTACAATGGATTGTAGTGATAAACATAGAAAGGACTAGTCCATATTATTAAGCACGATCACCTTTCTACAGAATCTGACCTAAAGTTTGTAGAATCCAGGAAATTTGATTGACCCAAAAACAAAAAAACGAAACATGAAGCCAGGCAATAAAAGAACTGAATACCACCTATTACAATAAAAAATGAAGTTCAGACACTTTCAAAAACTTCAAACCAATGACAGGCACAAATGCATAGCTGTTTAGGCACAAAATAATCGAATTTTCAAGAAAGCATGTTAAGTTTGATCACTTCAGGAATGTATATATTAGTATCTTGTTGAAGCCAATAATGGTTTAAACTGGTCGAACATAGTTTACAAATAAAAAGATTAATAGCTGGAAATGAAAATATCTGTCTGGTTAGTAAAGTGTTGCGAAGCAACATCACCAGGAATGAAAATGTATTAAAAGAAGTTGATTAAACAAAAAGATTGAACATAAAATGTAAATACAATGCATCCTTAAGCAAATAATGAGGAACGATAAGCACTGTGTACATATTGATACAATTGAGATAGACTCAGAAATCCAAATTATAAACACAGATTGACTACATCACTTCAGCATAAACGTTTACCACTGGATCTTAAGGAATTAGAATAGTAAGGTAAGAAGAGGAAGAAAGAATCAGTAGTCAGAAGTACCATTAAAACACAAAAAGACACTCCGTAAAGCTATACACACTCGCCTTTATACAAACATGAAAACATCACAAGTAGCCTCTGAAAATCACAGTCCAGGCCTACATATTTTAGGGAGCATGATAAGGTGTTTATGTAAAATTGTATAGTTGTTGTTGTCAAAACAGTCAGAACCAAAACGGTAACACCAACGGATAGTTGTTGGAATGAAAGAGCCTGGTAAAAAGAGGTTAACATAGAAAAGAAAGTAGGATAGAATCGGGGGCGCCAGTCTACAATCAGTTGTTTAGGTAGACAACTACCTTTGCAGATCGCAAACAACAAAACGATTAACCCAAACTAAACTGGTTAACATTCTCTGAAAAAATGGGAAACGAAAATATGGCCGGTAGAAACGTGAAAAAATCTTTAAGGGAAGCAAATCAACTAAGTAAAACGTTCTCCGTATGTTTCTTATAGCAGTGAGATCAATATTTTGGAGGCCAACAAAGCCATGAGGATTACTATTGCACTGTCAATTCATGGAAAGAAACAGAAAAACGTTCTTCGGCTGATAGCGATTAAGATTTATTGAGTTTGACAATTCGTCGTTTACCGGGAAACCTGTGGGTTGAACGATGATTGGTATTCTGAATCATTCTCAAAAGATGATACGGGTAATCCTTGTTGAACACAAATATTTTCCCACAAGGCAGGCGGGACAAATGGTCGAATAGCAAAAAAAGCATGTTGATAACTTCGAATAAGTGTTAACTCAGAATTTAATCGAGTTATTTCTGAGCGTAAATTAACATTCTCAGCTAGAACAGCTGCCAATTCATCTCGAAAACTATTGACTAAAGTCGAACGAATGGCCTCCTGTAAATAGAGAAATAAAACGATTTCTCAGCATACCAAGATAACTTTTATGAAGATACATGGATTTATATTTTGGAAGGCATATAACTTGGAAATAGTAGAGTAAATTAATCGACGAACTTAGTCAAATTAAATGTAGCTACTTGAAATTTAGTCAGTTATGAGCAAGGTGGAACCTAGCAAAAACGCATATCGGCCTAAGTTGCCACACTATGTGAGTGCAGTAGGATGAAATAAATACTATGGTCGTAGAAATATTGTTTGAGATACAGCATAGAAAACTAAGAATGGATAATACGTTTTGAGAAAAAAAAATCATAAAATAATTGGTATAGGATAACAGAAACTCAGGATGTAGACAAAAAACGGATATGTTTGTATACGGTTCATGTCATATTAGAAAGATAACTATTTGCTTCTTTTCTTTAAATCTATTTCAACAATCATTTATGTTTATCATCCTTTTGTCACAGTTGTTTAATGCGAACGCAACACATGTTGAAATTAGACTATTCTTGTCTTGCGTTCATATTTCTTATCTTTAACAAACTAAGGTACCTCAAAGGGTATCAATAATCTACTCAAATTTGTTACTACATTTGTAACAACAAAAGTTTGAGTGACATCGGTGGGTGAAAGCTTGCTGTTTCTTCTCCATATTCAGTCAGTCAGTCAGTTACAACGTAGAACTTTGTACGTAAGTATATCAGTTCATGATGCCATACCACATTAGCACAGAGAAGCTACTGTCACATCAAAACCCATAGTGGTGGAGATAGAAGAATTACTGGTAATGAAGAATATTAGGATTTGAAGATATTACACAAGTATAATTCAGTGACATAAATTTAGACAGAGAACGGTAGAGCTGATGAGGAATTCAGAAGGTTAAAATTTGAGCAAACACAACGAATAGATGCATCTGCGCTAGTGCAAACGATTTTGAGTCATGTCACATTCAAGGTGTCTAATCATCGGTGACATTCAACTCGCGGACCCCAACCAGGAAGTCGACACCTACCGACATGACTCAGTCCACTTCTTCAGTAACTTCATGGATTTCTGCCATGTTTTGGTGTGCCAGCCCTTAACTTTCGTCCAGCCTACTCCTACACCACAAAATATCGCTCGTCGAGGCAGTTAGTGGTTTGGAATTCGTAACACATGTCCCAACCACCTCAACTGATGAAGTTTCATTACTTCGTCTATTGACCTGCCATCCTTACCTAGCACCAATTTCCTAACGACAGAATTGCTAACTCGGTTGTCCCACGATACTCGAGCAATGCTTCGAAGGCAGGTTGGCAAAAGGCAATCGAGCCTTCTGTATCCGTGCTGAGATTTAGTCAGTCACCAGGCCGTCGACACTGATGAGACTCCCCAGACTAGTGAAGCGGTCAACACGCTCGACTACTTCACTCCCTATCAACCCAATCTTGAAGCAACATTTTGCATTTCGACGCGGAGAATCGCAACCCAAACATGCTGGCATTGTTGCTTAGGGTGGTCGGAAGACTCTGCATTTTGTCATCATCTTCACCAAACAGTACTATGTTATCATCATACTCTAAGTCAGCAAGCTTGTCTACACGTAAAAGGTCAACTCCTGAGAAGTCAGACGATGATAATGTTAACTCTAAAAGCATGTATATGACAAAGTCAAACAGGAATGGAGAGAGTAGACATCCCCTCCCAGCTGCCCACACTGTGGAAGGGTGTTTCTTGAGGAACCTGAAAATGAAGGTAGATTAGTGTTGGTCTTAACGACCTGGGAGCGTGACCGCAGAGCCCAGAAGACAACTGCTTGAGGCCGGTCACGCACGGCCTTTTTATTAAAGGTTTTTTGAGTATTAGCTCCGCTCTATTTTGAAGGCCTTAATGGGCAGCCCTTACCGCTGGAGGCGGAAATCCGCGTGGTAAGGTAAGGTGTGACATTTTTAGGGTCGACCTTTTCTAACCCTTCTTTCCTTGTGAGAATGCAACATCGCTGCAGATGCTGGTTGTCCGAGGGAAACACCTTACTGCTGTCACACCTCTCTGCAGTCAGCAGTACGACTTCGCCCTCAGACCTCTTCTCCATATACGCGAAAATACAATTCCACTATTTCTGTGACACTTTAATCAATCATTATTGACATGAACCCTGATCAAACTTCGATTGATTCATGTATCCCTTTTAACGTCATAACTGATAAACCACCTAACCGAAACAGTAGTAGTAGTGGCTCAATGTACTTAATTAAAATCCGGACTGTATGTATATTTAAGGCACAAAACGTTGACTTACCATACTAGCACGAATTCGAGCTTCGAGACGATCTGACAATAGAGAAGATTCTCTGGCATTTCGGCAGTATTCGACTTCCTCGTTAAAATCACCAGGGAACTTCATACCTTTCGGTGATCCAGAACCGGTCATAGTATCAACAGTAATAGGAGCACACGTTCTGACGTAAAAATATAAATAAAACTTGCGTTTATTAAAATAACAATAATAATTTAGGTTAGACTATGTATACGAAAAATATCACCAAAAGCTAAGAACTAATGAACAATAGATACCAGAATGCTAATATTAACAAGAAAACTGTGCAACCTATAATAAATTATCTGGTCAATACTGTTCTCAAAGTTACCGGAAGAAAATAGTACAAATTCAATGCATAACAAGGTTTTTAAAAATTACTCATCGGTATCCTCCAAAGAATTAGTCAACATCATACGGAATTCTTACGATGGATTAAACCGCAAAATCATGAATGGAACACAGATGACAGACTCGTTCGAGGTGAAGACCAGTGTCGGGCAAGGTTGCTTACTCTCACCCTTTCTCCTTCTCCTGGTGTTCAACTGGACTATAAAGACATCAAAATCTGGATGGAAGCACGGTATACGGTGAACGGCAAGGATGCAGCTGGACGATCTGGACTTCGCAGATCTGGTTCTTCTATCGTACACGCAACAACAAATGCAAGAGAAAACGACCAGTGTAGCAGCAGCAGGTCTCAGCATACACGATAAAACACAGCATGCACCAACCAAATCACTATTGATGGAGATGCCTTGGAGGACGTAAAAGTCTTTACATATCTGAGCGGCACCATTGACGAACAAGATCGATCCGATGCAGATGTGAGGGCGCGGATTGGCAAAGCAAGGACTGCATTTCTACAGTTGGACATCTGGAACTCCAAACAACCATCAACCAACACCAATATCAGAATTTTCAAAACAAATGTCAAGACAGTTCTACTGTATGGGGCGGAAACTTGGAGAACTACCAAAGCCATCATCCACAAGATACAAGTATTTATTAACAGTTGTCTACGCCCAGGACAAAGTCGGTTGGACATTATTGGTCGGTGGCCTGTGCTCCATTGGGGGTAACAGGAGTAAGTAAGTAAGTCCTCCAAACTCTACCGCCATTGGCCGTAGTTATCTCGCAGAACCCGACCAAGTGGTCTGTACTCAGTACAACAGCTAATGGCTTAATGGATCAGTGCCACGTTTAGGATTTGCAGCCCTTTCTTCTAACATACTTCTACACGTTAAAACACTGACGAATGTTCGAAAGAAACAATTGAACTGAATCTATACCAACATCTTCACTGAACAGAACTATATCATCTACACGCTCTAAATCAATAAGTGGATCTCCTGGTAGGATAGATTCCTGAAAAACACAGCCACCATCGTTTGAGTAGAAGACCTATACACTTGATATACTCCCTTGATACACCTTTTAATCACAGACTCATACAACCTCTTAGCCAACAGAATCAGCTGTTGCCTGTCGAAGAATGCGACTATGGCTGGGAGTCGGTGGGATTGTTTGCGTTCCAGAATCTGACAAACAGTGAATGCTTGGTTGGAACATGCAGGTTAAGGCCCGGAAGTAGTCTGGTTTTCACGGCTCACAATTCTCGAGTTAGAGTTGAGTGTTGAGAAACTATTTCAGTTAGGATTTACGACACCATATTAGTCTGGCTTCTGCGGTTATTACAATAGGATTGCTGTCTTTTCTTCTAAACTGAGACACCCGTGTAGGATTGTGGAAATTGTTGAGTATCATTAAAATCATGAACTGGACAATGTTAGACCGCTATCAGAAACGTGGAAGCACTAGACGGTCACTCCATCCTAGTATGGAGCTCATCAGAAGTCCCCATTAATGACACCACAAGCAGGAATCAAACCCAGGACCTTCAGTCTCGCACGTGAATGTTTAACCTTTAGATCATTGAGCCGGCATCCAACTGTGTTAATGTCTAACTTTAATTGCCCCATAATAATGAGCGACCACCATCCATTATCTTCAATGGTGGTCTAACACTGATCATTTCATGATTTCAATAAACCGAGAAGATCAGCGATCAAGACTAGTCAAGTAGGAACACATTAAATTTCCGAATTCTAGTTGATATCTTAGTCAATTTATATGTTAAAACTGAAATATCACCATCACGATCTGCTGCTCTCTTATCTTAAGCTAGCTAGAGCTTTCTCAGATTCATTAGGTCGGGATGCCTATGTTGATATCCCATATGGGTCGTTTGGTAACAGCAAGCAACAGAAGGGTAGTTGGGGACCAGTTAAAATGTTCGCCAAAGTATCACACACATCATTTTAATCTCCTCTGCTTTTCCAGTCTACTTCTACATCAGACAACATCGCTAACATTTAATTAACTTTCCATTTGGAAACTGAAAGAAAACTTCGGTAAATGTAATGATTACTATGTATACCAAATAAGAAAAAGCACTGACCTTTGGACGATGTCAGAATTATACAATCTCTTGTTCTTAATTCTACGAAAACGACTGATATATGAGCTGTCATCGAAGCTCTTTGAACGGCGACAAAATTGAGAGTAAGACCTATTATTTTTTAATGTTTTCATGGAAAAAACCCCCGAAGTATTAGATTTTGAAAAATTGTATTCAGATTCGCATTTGTTAATCAGCTTTGCACCTTCTGTATTTATCAGACGTTGTACATTTGGATCTATGGAAATTATATTAGTACAATCGCGTCCCAATGTACTATTATTGTTAGGCAGTAAGTTCAACAAACGGAGTCCAGATCTGGAAATTTCCGATGAAATTTGCAACTCAAGTGGAATTTGATGAGACCCGTTGGGAACGAAACCACTATTTGGACTAGCTGGAGGAACATTTTTTGAAAGAGTTTCTGAAGTTTTACAGGAACACAGTTCATTTAAATTGGAATTAATACATCCAGAGGCACGGTTAGAAACCTTTTTTGCATCCGTATAAGTGAAGTCCGATTTAAAGAAAGTAGCCATGTCTGAAGGTCTTTGATTAGATGTGAGCACTGAGTTTTCACAGTGTTGTTCCGACTCACTAACAACTGAAAGTTTATTTACATGATTTGCTATACCCATGTTTTGTCGGCGCAAATATGCAGTAGCAGGGTCTGAAGCATTTAGGGGAATTGCAGAACTATCTGGAAATTCTCTTTGAGTCCCATTTTCTCTTCGTGACAAAAGATCAACTGTGTCGAAATTTTCGCGATTACTTTTTACTGCACAGATTGACGGCTCGTTACGTCCCGACTCAATGAAATCTTGGGAACTATTATCACAATCGTAAACCGGTTCGGAACAACGTACGGGAATAGTCGTAAAAGGAACTTGGCTATGAATACGAAGACCATCATTCCAAAAAGAAAAAAGATTAGTCACTGCAAACCCATTACTTAAAATCATTGATTGGGCCTCCAATTCGTTCTCCAGGGCATCTACTTCTTCATGAACATGTCCAGGACGGGGAGCGACAGTAACACCTGCATGTGCAGAGTCATGTGTGGCTCGTGGCAATATAGATGGTTCTTTTTCTTCTATAAACAAAAAAGTGAAAAACCATCAACCGAGCATTGGTGGGAAAAACTCAACCTTTGTATCAGGAATAAGCAAATATGAAACTCAGTAATCTTTATATTGTTAGCTAATCCGGTTAAATTTATTAACACATGCATTTAGTTACTGATTAATTTGTATAAACTGCTACCTAGTTCAACATATTGAAATTCGACCAATGATTAGATACACATTTTAATGTATTTCTGATAGTTTTTGAATTAATGGTAACATTAGTCTTTATTCCCTCAAATAGTAGCAAGTAACTAGTTATATCCGCAGTTTTAGCAAGTAGCAACTTTTAGTATTTATGAACTGTAAAAAAAGCTAGTATTTTAGCAAACCAATATGTCCCGAAGTTTACTATAAGAAACAAAATGAATAGGAACAGACAAGCAGCATCTGAAGAGTTACTTCTCCCATCATTGGAAAATATTTTATGTAGTAAAATATGCAGATTCATTTTATTTAATGCTTCAGTAAAATTGGATTCTCAGCATAGCACTAATCTGCATTCTTCCAAGGATCAAGATACAGAGTAAACTGTGGTAATTAAGATTTGATAAAACCGAATAATAAGTTCAAGTCCCAATCCATGAATCGAATGTTTGGAAAGCGGTGGTATAACTAACTAGCACTCCACTATCATGTAAATAAAATGATTAGTACATTCGTTAGTTTGTTTCCTGCTGAACCAGTTTATAACAAGTGCACTCTTTATTCAGACGTCTACTCCCCATAGCACGAGATAAAAGTAAGCGATGAGACAGCCAGTGATGACAGATAAACTTGAGCAGTTGTTTAAAACTATGATTAAAAGTGACCAACTGTTAATGTAGTGATCATTAGATCGACATCAAGACTCCAGCTCTTAGTGAAGTTGAGCGTGCTAAAACTAACTTAACCTGAGAGGGTAAAACAGATTTCCATAGGTCAGGTCTAGAAGCTTTAAAGGAAAGAGATCAAACATTATGGTTGGGGGCTTTTGGTGACATGGCTTAGAATCGTTCGCAGTGACGCAGATGAATTTATTGTTTATCTTTTCCTCCATCTACTATTCCAGTATCCCCTCACACATACATTTCAACTATCGTTTCAAATTATACCCCCACAGTAGTCTTCCGTTAATCAATGCTGCTACATTAATTCCAGCTTTCTGAAAGGAAGTAAGCAGAACAGTGGTCGAAACTCAGAACTAGCAGTCGAAAGTCAAATCCCTTACGACTTAAAATTTACGAAAAAAGTCGAGCCATTACATTTATGAACCTCCGATATTTGTGAAAATAACACGTTAACACTAACAAACATTAACTTAATGTAAGGTAAAATAAATATACCATTCCAAGTTAATATATGACGTAGGGAGAAAACGTTAAAAACTAACACAACTGGAACAAACTTGAATACAAGACAATTAATTCTTATACTAAAAATATCACTAACAACTGAAGGAAGTTAATGTAAGATATTTTAGTGAAGCAGAAAGTCAAAATAATTTTTAGGTACAATTATATTTGTGAAAACTGCAGAGGTTGAGCACAGTTATGCCTAACACAGCCACGTAATCATATTCAGAATAATTTTCTAAAAATACCACTGAGACTACCATCCTTTAACGGGATTATACATTCAGTAAAGTGCAAACACACAGTCCTGATATTTGTGAGTTCTGATATACGATTTCCTCCTGATAAGTTTATTACTTCAAATGATGACTGGGATATACTTTAAAATGAAAATAAGACACAACACTCTTATTCCGAAACGCGAAAAAATTCCGAGTGAAAAAGTAAAAAATCTTTAGCCAAAACCTCTTTACAGGAAAAATTCATATAATATGAGATATAATCATAATAAAACTTACTAGTACCTTTTGGTATGAAACAGGATAAACATTTGATCTTTTTGTTTGCCAAAGTTGTAACAGCTTTCTCACATACAAACGACTTCTTCTGAAGTTCACTAACCCAGTCAGGAACAGCTTTTAGGTGACAATCGTGTACAGAAAACCGACCATAGGACCACTGTTCTACGGTTTCGTGTATCCGAGCCTTACGGAATCTCGAGGCCGGTTGTAGGGGTGGGAGTGAAGCTGCAGCCATAGCAACAACGCCCGAAGCTATGTGGTTGTTTACAGACACAGTTGACGCTGTGTTACTTGATGTTGTTGATGGGTGCAAGTGATGCAGACAGGTTATTGGGGGCTGCTTGTAACTTCCGTGTCTGGGATGAGGAGATAGACCAATATGATATGTAGGATGTAGTACATTTGTTAAATTCACCCAGTTTGAAGTATTTGGAGGATCAGAATAATTATTACTGACCATGTTGCATAATGATTTGGAATGCGACACATCAGAAGTTACTCGAAACTCATGAGGATCAGGTATTGTTCTCCGATCACGCAAGTGATATGTGCTGTTTAGGTTTTTTTTCGAAGGCGGATAGTAATCAACATGAAGCGGAGATTCAGATGATGACACCATTTTCGATTTCATTGGGTTTATTAAAACTGGATCACATGGATCACGAGAATATGCAGGGTAAATGGTTTCACCCTGAAAAGATGAAAGGCATTCTGGATTGTTAGGATGTTCATAATTTGGCATTGATATGGGAGATAAACAGTCGTTCTGTTGGTAGCCATCATGGCATACAGATGCAAACACATTCGCAGGAACTTCACTGACAGGATCATGTGACTTGAAATGACCATTTATAGGTTTTGCAAATGACAGGGAGTTTGTAGATGGATGGAACTAAAAAAAAATAAAATTGTCTCATCTTAACAGAAGTTAGTCACTATAAAGTAAATGCTTAGTTTGGAGGCAATCTGGTGAGTTGTGGAGCAACTCTATTTGTCATTCCAAAAGTAGGCACACATTCATACTAGTTTACGTGTAGAGAAGCTTGAATGTGGAAAAGAATCAGTCAGACGAACCTCGGTGTGTTGCAAAAGATCCTCTTACAGCAATGAGTCACTCATTTACAATGTAAAACTTGGTACGTATGTACATCAATACACGTAGCCATAGCACAGAAGCAAAGAAATAAGTTTGTCAGACCGAATCCCAGAGTCGTAAAGACTGTAGCAGTTGTATTATTGTTAATGGAAAAGATTACGGATCGAAGATACGATCCCAGAAAATAGAAACTAATGAAATAAATTTAAGAAGATAAAAAGGTCATGAGGAATTCAGAAAATTGAAATTCCGAAAACAAAGATTTGATGCACCTACACCATTGCAAACGATTTGAGCCACTTCATTCAAAATCTCTAACTACAACTTACGACTGCCTCGCGGAACCCAACCAGGTAATCTACACCTACTAATATAGCTCAGTCCAGTTGTCGATGGATTCATGGATTTGTGCCGTGTTTTGGTTTGACTGCCCCTTTTTTGAGCCTACTCTTACATCGGACAATATCGCGCGTCGAGGTAGTTGGTGGTTGGACATGCATAACACGCCCCAAAAACCTCGTCTGGTAAAGATTCATCAATTAATTTGCCATCCATACTTAGAACTCTATTTACCCTGAAATACTTTTTTATAGCTGATTAACACTTCCAGATATTTTGCAGTTGAAAGCAAAATTTAGGAAATTCTAACTAAAAAGAGCATTTGGCTCTGTTTATATAAGGACTTCAGGTGTTACTGGGGAGGCTAGGGCTACAAACTAAGAACAAATGTTGATATTATTTATCCATGCTCCTTATAAATAAATAAACAGGATTTTGGGAACTGAGTTAGTTAGTTGCACATCCTTTAAAGCACTTAAATTTTACGAACCCTAAGCAATCTTTAGACTTTTTATTTGATTTAAAAAGTTATATCACTACATACATATGTAACCACTGGTCAAAGTATGGAGAGAATTCATCAATATTATCTACTAGAAACAGCTTCTGACTCATTTTTAACTGAAAAAAGAGACGTTTTAATACACTAGCGTTTAATGAATTCATACTAAGCAGAATCCTGATTCGGACTTATGCTAAAAGTGCTAAGAGGCTTCCAAAATAAAGCATTCGAAAGGTGACTACATGAAAACGACTTGTCACCCATAATTGATTTAATCAAATACATACATAGAATAGGCTTATATCAACCAGTAAATTACCAAAAGCCGGCGTTTACATATTGGTGATGTTGAACACATATGAAAGGTGCAGCATCCAAATTAAATGACAGCAAGAATCGATTTAACTTAACTTTTAAATACGCTTATTTGGTATGTTAATATATTCGCTTTTAAAAAATAAGAATGACGAGCACAGAGCAAATTGATTTCACCAAGACAGAGAAGGATTGTCAGAAATCCATCAAAAACAGCATGGAAAACTCAAACCTTCAAAGTAGATAGGATCCTACATAAAACGAGAACCTTAGCAATATCTGATCAGTAAAGTGACTTAATCGTTGAAATCGCAAGCACGAGTATCATCAACAAGTGATTTGGCTCGATTAATTTACCTGGCTGACTTCCTCGACATTTGACGGGGTTGCAACAACTGAACAAGAACGAAAGTTGAAGCAGTTTTGAGGAAGTGTGTCGGCATCTCTTATCCCATTTGCACCATCATTTATCTCATCATCATCCGGATCATCAAATTCTTCAAACTCCTCAGCTTCTATAGATCCTGATCCATAAACATCATGGGTCGCATCGTCATACAAAACGCCATCAACTTGACTGAAGTTTGAGTAGGGCGAATTTCCGTTGGTTCCGATACCATTTTTCTCGGACATACGATTATCCACGTCTGTTGTATGCTGTTTGCTTCTTCTGACTTTTGACAAGTGCTTTACGCTGAGTAGCATAAAACCTGAACCAGACTCTTTTGATGAACAGTCATCTAAAGAGATAAATAATAATGCGGCACAGAACAACTTACGAGTCAAGTTATACGTACTCGGGATACCGTTAGAAATATCTGACTTTAGACAATCCTTCGAGTCACGCTTATTGCCTACACCCTCCAAATCACTCATGAATTGAGATTTCCAGACGAATAAAACTGAATCAGTGAAACAGACCTTAGCTAATAAATGCTCCGGTCAGTTCTGACTGATTTTGAAAAAAAATAAACATGCTTTTTTATTATTAATTCCGGTGCATAAAAACAGGTGGAAAACATGTTTTCCTTTTGATAGGTGACTTAAGTATTGACAACAAACATGAAACGGCCAAATCACCCGCTACTTTGATTTCAATTGTTGTACTCGAGTTTCACTATCTGCTGTACATTAAAACAAAATTAAATGGTAAGAAAAATATTACTATATAAATGATATGTGAGGCAGCCATAATTGTTGAACATCTAACTTCATGGTTTATTTAGGCATCTTCGTTGACTATATTCTTTTTACAATGATATAGGGTTAATTAGAACTGTGAAGATAGAATTTACGTATGATCTAGAAAATCTAGCAGTTTTCTATCCTCTGACTTCTCGGTTATAGATGGAAAGTTTACATTTTTGTTTTTATTAAGTTTTAACAAACCAGATATTTGAAGGGATCCTAGCGATGAGCAGTTCAGATATGAGATAGTGGACAGTATAACATGAGCCTATATTTCAAACTTTTGCAAATAGTTACAAAGATAGGGTTTGTATTTTTGGTTTTCGATGCACATATCTGACGTGAAAATGCAAAAATTTTCGTTGTGACTGAAATTCTACATCCATGTTTGTCGACAGAAGATGAAAAAATTTGTTCAAATTGTACTGACCATCAGAAACGGACCAATCGAACAAAAAATATTCCTAAGAGAAATTTATTCTTCAATAACCGCCATATGCAGCCCAACAATTAATGGATAATAGTGTGAATTATAAACGTCTCCAAGTTAATAATAACTATATTAACGCTGATTACTAACTGTAGAATCCTCTTTGAATGTTTTGTTTTTTGGAAAATCCCTCCATGTTTATATATTTTTGTTATGACATGACGGACTCTTTCTGTTGACATTTTTGGTATTTTATTTGATTCCAATTTGAGATTTTATCATTGTATATTGTTATTATTTCTATATTTTGTACTTATATTGAAGTTTTTGTGTTTGCTTCTGATTGTATATATGTTGTTTAAATTTGACCTTTAATATGGCTACAGCCATATTTGGATTGATCCGGTTGCAGTTGGACTTAACGCCACTTACTCATCCTTGTTGGATACTCTTCGGAGTAATTTTAACCTGGAAGGAGCATTAATTCCAGGTAATGCTTTGTATTTCCATGTTTTTATTAAATAAGACCGCTTTCTCCTAGAATTTTTGTCTTTTTTTGATTTGTTTGGACCTGGGACTGGGAGAAACGAGTACAGGAGTGCACCTATCGGAACCCATTGGAACTGCCACCGTAGAAATCCATTTACAGTCTGGAATTATTCCTAAGAACATTTGTATTCTGGAATTATCCATTACTTTTGATTAGAAGACCGATTACAGTTGGATTATTAAGAAGAATAAAGAAACATTTGGAAATTTATTCGTTTATAACACTAAACTTCTTGATAGAAGAATCTTGGATTACTTATCGTATTTTCGAATTCGAATTGTATTTTGGATGACGATATTTTGATTTTGGATATCTCTTATTGAACTTATCTGTGGAATTCCTATATTTTGTATTTGTTATTTATCTTCCGTTGAACTTCACTTATAATGTCAAGTCGCAAGAAAACAAACATGAGGAGGGTGGAAGAGCTTGACGTATCCCGAAATGCTAGGCAAGTCGTCATTGATACCTTTTTAATGGGTAACCACTATGTTAACACTGATGTTATGTCTGATACTTATTATTGTAAGTCACCTTTGGCAGGCATTAAGGAACCAGGATTAAGTGAGAGTTCTAAGGTACCAGAGACGGATCAGATGCTTAGGACACCGATAGTAGGCTTAGAACTACCTAAGGTCGAACTTTCATTTTTTGAGGGAAAATCTCGCGACTATTTTAGGTTCATGCGCCAATTAGAAACGTTTATAGAACCCAGAATAAAAGATGACCAAGTGCGTTTATTGTACTTAATTCACCATTGTAAAGGAAGGGCAAAAAATGCGATTGAAGGTTGTATTATAATGGATCCACAAGCGGGATATAAGAGAGCTAAGGCCATCTTAAAACAGCTCTTTGGACAGTCGCATGTAATAGCCCGGGAAACCTTAGAGGACTTATTTAAAACTGGGAACGCAGAATTTAATGATCCTGAAGAATTGACGAATTTGGCTATTAAAATGCAGAACGCTGCATTAACCTTAGAACAGCTAAATTGTACAACGGAACTTCATTCCCTGGTTACTTTAGAACGAATAGTCAGGCTCTTACTTCGTCGAATGCAAGCCCAGTGCGCAGAGCTGGGAATCAAGTGGGACGAAGAGGAGAGAGAGCCTAATTTCAATGAGTTGACGGAATTTATTATGTCTCGCGCTAAGATAGCTAGTAGTAGGTTCGGAAGATTAGCTTATCGGGCTAAAACAGGACATAATACGGATGCTACTAGTGGTCTGCGTGCGAGACATGAGGATTCTTCGTTTCTATCTAACGCACGCCCGGAAGATAAGAGAGTTGTCAATTATATCACGAAAGCATACGCTGATGAAGGACGAGTATGTGACCGTAACGATGTAAAGCCTCTTGATGCGTATCCTATCCCAGTAAGAAGCCGGTTGGTGTAACAGATAAGATGGCTTTTCTAAGTATGGAAAAGAAAGAAAAAGTTGAAAAGTGTAGGCATCAAGATGAATCCGAAGTGTGTGATGATAAAAGCCTCCTAACTGCTCGAAAAGCCTGGAACGGTTATTTGGATTCGAGTAAACAGAGGTTAGTGAGTTCAGTAAATATGAATAAGGCCAAGGCAGGATTGTCTGGACGGAATAAAGCCTATTTTCGGAACCCTTCACTTAGGGTAAATTATATAACGGGACCTAGAGTAGATTCTAGGACAAGTGATGGCGGTACTGTAAAGGCTAGGAAGCCTAGGAAACAACATGATGCTACTATTATTAAGAAGCCTAAACATCATTCTCTTTCGGATGCTATGACTAGCGATGGAAATAGTAGTCATCAGAATCTTAGCAGTGACAGTGATAGTAAAGAGACAGAAAGTGTGAACAGTCCATTTATAGTGACTAGTCGATCAACTTCATCGAATGAGCCTTCTAGTGTTTCGACGTCATCGGACCTCGTCACGAATGTTAAGTTGATTGAGGATACACAAGGTTGTGTAACTGTAAGTGTTCCTACTTCGGTTGACTGTCAGTCAAGTGATGATGAGAAGGAAGCGTCTGATGGTAACAGTCAGTCTACAGTGTTGCATGATAACGATGCTATTGATGAGCATATGTCTTGTGTCTCTGAAACGGAACATGAAGAACAACAAGTGAGTATATCAGTTTCGAATTGCGATACTAATGCTGTTCTTTCATGTAACGAGATGAGTTATACAAAAATGGAAGAGTTCCACTCTACGGATGCTAGTGCAGACCGAATCGACGCGACTTGTCTGACAGAACGGAATCATGATGACGTTGTTAATAATCTGGATGTCACTGATGTGACAAATGAGTTACCGAAGATGACGAATGCTGATCAAAACTCCTCTGTATCAGGAGATGGAGAGATAAATATTGATCCCATGTTATGCTACTTAAAGTCTTCTGGAGACGATGAAATGTCAAAATTGGAGATCCCACCCTTGCATATTATCTATGGGTCAAGAATTTCTGTTGATAAGTCAGCATCACTGACTTCATTGTATCTGCCGATCGGAGCAAGTCGTGTTGAAATGAAGACTCATCCCCATGATATGGAATGTAGTTCCCATATAGGATATGACCAGCATAACGACGTGTTGTACATGTTCGTGTGGGTTAATTGGGTAAGGTTTATACTACCGTTAGGTCATGCTACGATAGATAGGGGAATCAAGGGCCTGATGAGAAGGTATAGGTACCTAGTTAGCTTGATAGGTCATATCCATGTTGGAGGGCGGGTAGGCGTACTGCTGTAAGTCCTACCGCTTTCTCCTAGAATTTTTGTCTTTTTTTGATTTGTTTGGACCTGGGACTGGGAGAAACGAGTACAGGAGTGCACCTATTGGAACCCATTGGAACTGCCACCGTAGAAATCCATTTACACTAACTTCGATGATGTTGTGTTCCACCTACACCAATCACCACACCAACGAAAGACAGAATTTTGATTTAAAGTCGTAAGGATCAGAGAACAGGATTGGGTGATTATAGTGAAATTTCCGGACAGTGTGGTAATTTAGAAACGAATAAATGATCATCCCATGATGTCAAAACGAACACTGACTGGCATTCTCCGGCCGGGTAAATTTCAAGACAATCTAGTAATTCATTAGCTATTAATACGAATCTGCGAGAATATTGTTCTTCATCATAAGTATGGACGAAAAAAGTCCAAAACCTCCTATACTCAGGTCTCTCAGTCATAGACCGAACAGAGTGCCATTAAAAAGTGTAGTATTTGCGATTTTTTACTGCATAGGTAAGAGATTTAAAACTTCTCTCCTCTTCATCATTATTCATTCTCCTCTCCGATAGAGTCCATTTGCCTATGATCTTTAACAATATACATCTCATTATACCTACTCCTCTGGAATACCTCGACAATCAGTGTAATTTTTTCCACGCTTTAGAACTACTGACGCAAATTAATGTTTTACGGAAGCCCATTGCGCTTATTTTTGATTGAAACAACTTGGCTGACGTTATGACACCCATCATTAGCATATCGATTATGATATGGGCTGAAGGTTGGTTGTTAACAATGAGTTCATCTATCAACATGAAGGTCGCAAGATACTCACCTGCTTAAGGCTGCTCATATTCGAAGGATCGTAATAACCTAGAAGGTGTAACATAGAAGTTACTGCCGATTCCCTTCAAGAGCAGAAAATTATATACATGCTCCATGTCAATTTATGAAGACATTTCTTTAATTCTTTGTTTACTCACACCAGATTTGATCCGCTATCATAACATATCTAACGTAAATACCATCATCATCAGCGTCAAGAAAAGTGAGGCCGACTAAAAAACTCTACATCACAACCAAACATGTAGCTCCAATACTTGCATAAGTTGGAACGAATCAGCAGCGTTTCTCAAAACTCCTTCCCCGAGCAAAAATAAACTCAGAACAATCTACATCAATAAATAAGGAATGATAGTCACCGAGTTCCGATTAGTCACTGTTCCATACTTTTGAAAAATACACAGTTCCTTAACCGTTTTTAGAGGGCAAAGCCTACAGAATTAACATATAGTATTCCAAGAACTGTTGAGGGAACTTGGAAAGACCGAATGTCTTCCTAACTTGCGATTTCATATTGAGAAACTTATCCTGACGGGGCTCTGAGAAACGTCCTGGAGACAACCACTCACACAAAAAATTAGGTTTATTAATAACGGACTTAACTTTCATTTAACCATCATTAGTTTTATTATGGTACATATTTCAGAAGATACAGACTGCTTCATCAATATCTACAAAATTATCCTATTAAAATTGGATCGTTCTCAATAAAGTGAAATGTAAATCATTAACTTTGAGTGGCCTTTCGAACCAACTTAGATTAAAGGAGTCCATTTGTGTGATCTCGGGAACAAGCGGAGCACTACCTTTCTAATATTCGTTCTCAGAAAACTCTCAAGCCGTTCCAATAGGGGTTCTTAGTTTTATTGACCAATCGGCTGAACCATGATCGCTTGTGTGTTAACTTTCTAAGCATTTTGAACAGCTTCCGCTGACTCATCGTCGCTGACGGAGATAAGGCAAACCAATCAGCCGCTCTTTTCCTCTCCCGGTTCAGGTGACAACCAAATTAGCTGCACATTTCGCCCTGATGGGATGTGTTAATGACAACCGCTAGGGAGACAGTATTTCTGATGAGTAAATCTACCACTCCCTCTAAATGTTTCCGAGTTCTATCAGTTAATAATAATAGTAATTTTAATAATAACAATTTATTCTCAAATAACAAACATGTTACTTAGGGCATGCTAATTTAAAGGCAAGATCAAAATGTTAAGATTGGCAACATATTTCTTTTAAAACGGTGTATAGTTAAGGAAATATTTCATAAGATAAATTAGCTCCATTTAGATGGCTAAGTTTTCACATAAAATTAAACATAATTTTGCAGACTAATAAAGTGTAATAAGAAACTCACAAAATCAGGTTTTCTTTCGTCCCAGACAATATCAGCCAAGATGGTGTGATGGCTGTCTCAGTAATCTAACTTCACACCTAACTCCGGCTACTTCTAGGCGTCTTTGAAACAGAATGAAATGGAACAAAATCTTGTTTCCCACCATGTCTTTACGGTTGGCACGACGCAACCATCGAGATCGTCCTTTCATGTTTGATCCCTCTTGAAATCATTCTTCACAACCTCTTTTGTGTTTTCTGTCCTAATTTCATCTGCTAATGCACATACAGTAACCTTTTTTACTGAACGCTTCTAGGTTCTGCCAACCACATGTCTCTGTTAGTTCTACAGTTCTCTATTCTTACTCTTCTTTTATTAATAAAGCAAGTGTAATGACCAAAGGTGGAGCTTGAGACAGTGATGTGTTCAGTAGCGTGAGTTTCTTGTGTGATGCCACTATTATTCAACCCAAGTGACTCAATCGACCCAGAGATTAGGTAGGGGTTCTCTGCATCGAAAGACTAGGCATTATTCGACTCGATTTGGTTGTGCTTATTTAGCACCGCTCACTATTACCATGTTGCTGATTGTAAACTCTGCGTCTGAATAGGATTATTGGCAGTAAATAAAGGGGTACATTTTGTTGCCCCTTTTTCAGAGCTGCAAGTGTTATATACTAGGAGACTTTACAGTATCGACACACCGAGAGTTGGTCCTTGTCATTGTCTAGTCATCAACCAAAGATTTACATACAACATGGACAAACGGTACTATACTGAGACAAAAACTGATGCACATAACCTGTGCAAACAGAGAATCATGAGCTACTAAACATCGAAAGTGTAACAAGCAGAAAGTGCGATCCCCAAAATAGCGCGGATTAACGTGATGTACCAAAAAAAACCTTACTATATGTGTAATGATTAACATTAGTCACACCTAAAAGATGCTGCAGATCTGTTACCACAAGCCTAGGCGACTTGAACTAACCTTTTGGCAGATAAACATTTTTTCCTCTTTATCCTGTCACATATTTACCCTAGCGTAATACTCACATGTAACCTTGAGCATGCTGCAGCATGTATATTTGTATACTTACTTTTTCCTCTTTCAAACACAAATACTATATTATCTGCTACTCAGGAAGTTGGTAAATTCGCCTTCTCTATATTTCGTCTTGTCTATCTGGTCTTCATTATAGACGTAACATGAATGGACTTAGCCTGAGCAGAATATACGAAATCAAATATGTTCGAGGTTTATCCATATCTTTATCATACATAACAAAGTTAGAATTGCACAACCGTGAGTGCACGACCAATCAAGCAGTTGTTTCGTTGACAACCAGTGCTTGTGACCAAACCATGCTATTTCGAATTGTCCAAGAATAGGGAAAAATTATCTTAATATATTTCTTATGGCAAACAGTTGAAAGTAGTCGCAATGTCTATACTCCTGACCGCTGATAATAGGGGACAACATCAGTCTGCCCGACGTAAAGGTGGAAGTGGCTAATGCCAAATCGAGCAACCGTTGGTGCACTGCACTACACTTGCTTCACAGTATGATTTTTACAATCGCGTGATGTAGATGTACTCCGAATAAAAATAACAACCTTTAGCACTGAGCCATTAATGCACATTTATTTAATAATGAAGTTATTAGCCGATGTCCGTATTCGAATCGTTTTTATGTACTTACATTAAAAGACTATAAGCACTATCTGCACGATACCACATAGTCAAAAAATAAAATACACCGTACTCAAATGGATAGACCGCAGTGAACTGTTTACATGCGGACAAATCCCATCAAAATGAATTGGATAGACTCAAAACACTACATATCCAAGGACAACATGGAATGCACCCAGCGGCAAAATAATAAAAAATAGGAACCATATCTATTCGCAGAGGGATTACATTTGGGAAATATTGCGATTCCGGTTGAAACATAATAAAACTAAAACTAGTCATTATCATTACAAATGTTGACAGAAAACAGACTAATAAGATTCGGTTTAGGTTTTTGAGATATGTAAAATAACTCAAGGGTTATTTAGACCACTTAACCACCTTTCTTTCGTAAACAAATTGATTTATTGGTTCCTTCGATCCATTAGGTAAAGTGGCCAAGTAAAATGGAGTATCAGCACCTAAAGGAACAAAACATAACACAAACTTAATATGAGTCAGTTATAAATCCCTGATTAGTGATGAAGATTCTTCAACCACACAAATAGAAGGAAACAGCTAAAAGAAACTTGAGCTTGCTGTTATCTGTTATGGAGCAAATCACTTTATAATTTGGAAATATTCCGAAATATGAAACAATAAACAAGAATATACATCCCTCAATAGAAGTGATTGCGAAAATTTAGGAACTTGAAAGTGCTATTCATATTCGATATGGAGTGCCACAAACGGATAATTTCGCGAAAAAATATATACGAATCCTTACAATGTTGTTTAATTATGTGATAAACGATACAGTGAATCAAACAATTTTTCAAGAATATAAACGTTTATTTCTGTATATCAACTGTTATTTATGCGACTCTCCTGCTGTTACTTTGAATTACCCATTTATCAACATACATTCCAGAATCCTGCGAATCAATGCGTGCACACCTTTTCTCATTAAGAGTCATTGCAACTTGGAATGCTCACCCCGTTGAGGTGACTACAGCCCCCTCAGTGGATAGCTTTAAGAAAAGACTTGATAAAAACGTAACCACATACGGATCATCATCTCCCTCGTGGACAAACTGTGCCTGATGCAGGCCTTGAGACTCGCTAGTCAATAATACTGCCATCTCCTCAGATCGATCACTTAATCTATCTCGTCTATTATCTCTGTTTCCTCTTCCTTGCTTACACTTCGATCCTCTCGCAAAATCTTCACCACCAATTATTAAAATAAATTGTATATCATTTACTTAGTCCTGAAATCTTACTCTTATCAGCATTAGAATTTTCTCCTTATTATTCTCCACATTGTGACTAACTGAGCTCCGGTCTGGTAATGTGATAGCTGCTGGTACCCAGAAACCCTACTGTCCTGAAACAAATGTATTCACTCAAATCAAGGGACATATAAACTCACAAACCACTGCCAACTGACTAGAATTAGACAGTCGAGTGGCTAGAACTCGATTCACTGGACACTAGCAAACACCTGGAACCGTACTGAGAGAAAAAGAATCGAGGGCAGAGAAATAAACTGGTTTATACCAGCTCGTGGAAAAGATATTAGACCAAGGTATAGCAGCAGCTGAAGGTTTTACATATATATATGGAATTTCAGCGAATAATTCCATAAAGAAATTTGACGAATAAAAATGAAGATTTATAAGGCCAAAGTACTGAAATATATGGCGTAAATAATCGAACAGACAATCCGCTCAGTATGCACACATGCCAAAAGAAAGTGATTGGTTGCAATCCTAAACATCAATGGGAAAATTCAAACCAAAACAAGTGAATTAATAAAAGGTAGTGTAACTTCCACAGGATGTGTAAATAAAAAGGTGTGCGAAATGAATAAGCTAACATTGGGTAGAAGCGTGAACGGAATAAGATGAATAAAATTTTTTATCAAAATAATTTAAGCCATTGAAGGAATTAAATGGAATGATATCAAAAAAATTTATGCGTAAAATCATAGAGACAAGATACATAATTAATGAGACATAGGATTTTTCCAGACACAAAATCAATCAAAAGAAAATATGGCAATAATACTGTAGGGTCGTAGTAGAAACAAAGGCGTTATCAGACATGATTCAGAATAGAAGTCAGTGGCAATCTTACGGTAACTTTATTTCATTTTCACATAAGTAAAAGTAAATTCTTTAACTGAAAGGATTCTTACTGATAGTAATTTCCTTAACTGTTTCTCCCGTTATTATCACCAATATTTCACCCTCGTACACTAATTTTATTCATTTTTTCGTTAAACTCAATCTTCTCTATCTCTTCAAAACCTCATTTTTAGTGTGTGGGGCATATATATTTTGGTGCCTACTTGTACCAATATTTATGTGTTTCAAATGAATAAATGTGGTCTTTAAAGAAAAGTAGATAAAAGACGAACATAATAGTTAAGTTATTACTGTGATTTTCTTGGAAATTACTTATCGGTTTATAATTATCTGTCGTATTAATTTTCTATTAACGTTGGGTGCGTAAATCAGTCCCTGAAATGTTTACTAAATCAGAATATAAAATCCGTAACAGATATAAAAAAGGTTTACAAGATCTGGATAAATAAATGTTTGAACGCTCACCCTCATCAGCTATCTTCGTTCCCTTGTGACTAGACATATCAGTATCACAAAAGCCAGGACAACACTGTCAAATTCATAAAAAAGAAAAAGGTTGGAACGAATTTTTTCGATATATTCAGATGAAGTATGAAGAAAACTAAGTAATTCTAGACTTGGAACCAACATGCACAAAATCGGATTTAAATTTTACGATTATTAAACTGTAATTTTAACGTATACCACTTATGAATATAAAACCCATAGAAAATAACCTTTGAAAAAGTTATATTTAAGCATACGGGATTAGAATATTGTTTTCTTTTACAGGTGTACACGTCTACTTACTTTGTTCGAACTAACTAAATAAACTAAGGATATAAATAGCTACTCTTGAAACTAACCATAATCACATAGCTTGAAAAATATCAAACAAACTCAAAGAATAATGGTGAAAGCAGGATTAGTGCAGGTTGTTGGCATCTAGAAAAAGAACAACTATACCATTAAGCCACTTTTAAGTTAGGTGACAAAGATAAGTTTATATATTATAATGTAGTAACCAATTCATTGTTACGCAATTAAATCTAACAAATAATTTAGTTGAATAATTTCTGATTTTCTGTTACCCTGATTGAAATTCGAGAACGCGTACTACTGACTACCAATCCCAAGCTTCTATACAGATGAATCATATAACTTTTGTACAGATATCTTAGAATCCAAGTGATGAAAACATCATTCTTCAGAGTGTGACAATATCTCTAGAAAACTTCAACACAAACTTTCATAATTTAAACAGCACAGTCTCTATGTTAGCTTGGAAGTAAACTCAGCCACTGATATTTATGAAATCACAACGCTTTATCTGATGAGTTGGCCTAAGTTTCTTCAGAAAGTAATCAAAATTACGATTACCAGACATAAATAAGGTGTAGCAACGAACTGTCCGTTCTAATATTGACGAATGTTGACAAGGACTCTTCCATATGATTGTTTTTTACAGCAGCAAACCATAGAGTTTATTTCCAAACAGTTATCAATATGCAAAAAATAGCCAAACTTGATTTATATAACGTTGTTGAGAAATTTACGGGCTGTAGAGCACCAATGAACAATAGCAAATGTAAACAACAGTTCATTTCAAACGCAATTAAGGTTTCGGGAATAAGTGCTCAGTAATGTAGCAAAAATTTTGTGACACCATATTTCATAGAAAATATAATCATGAAACTTGAGTCATTTGTTTTAGAATCTAACAAATCAATATGAGCACAACAGTCTTGCAGTTTAAATTAACCAGCATGAATTAGGACTTCGAAAATTTCGGACTTACAACAGGATCATCAGTTAGTTCATTCACTATGCATAAGTACACCTAATTTAAACTGTTGATGAATTTGTACATACACACTAAATTACATGGTATTTTTTAATTTGAAACGATTACTATTCTAATTCTGAGATTGAACGGATTCGTACAAAAATAAACACAAATCATTCCAACTCCGAAAAAATTAACTAACCGAATTTATCACAATCCCTCTCGAATCGTCTTTCAGCATTTCACCGAAATAAATGAAGCCTTTGTAAGGCCCATTTTGGACACACCATATGCAGTTGATGGCCAGCCTCTTTCAGAATAGGTATCATCCTCCGCAGACCTAATTGCGATTTTTAAAAAATATTTGCTCAATAAATAAAGCTAAAAGGGCTACATACTAATAATTCCGCATTTTCAAAATAATCTTGCTAGCAAATTAAATGTAAATAAATTTGGAGAATAATATAACCAGGATGATAATTGCTTTTGAATATATATTAAATGAAGAAATTCACACTGACAGATCCTATACTGTTGACATACCTCATTATCATCAAGAACAGCAACGTAAAACTTCGTACGTACGTACATCAGATCATGTTGCCAAACCACATTAACACAGAGATGGAATTGTCAATCCAAAACCAATAGTAGTAGAGGTAGTAAAGGTATTAGCGGCAGTCGGAAAGGTTAGGATTAGAAGATATTGTTCAAGAAGTAGAATCTAGTGACATAGACTTAAAAAGATAAAGAGATGTGGAATTGAGAAGTTTAGAATTTGAGAGAACACATTCAATGAATGCACCTGTGCCATTGCAAACGATTTTGAGTCATGTCACATTCAAGGTGTCTAATCATCGGTGACATTCAACTCGCGGACCCCAACCAGGAAGTCGACACCTACCGACATGACTCAGTCCACTTCTTCAGTAGCTTCATGAATTTCTGCCATGTTTTGGTGTGGCAGCCCTTAACTTTCTTCCAACCTATTCCTATATCGCAAAACATAGCTCGACGATGCATTCAGTGATTAGGCATACGTAACACATGTCCCAAGCACCTCAACTGATGAAGTTTCATTACTTCGTCTATTGACCTGCCATCCTTACCTAGCACCCATTTCCTAACGACAGAATTGCTAACTCGGTTGTCCCACGATACTCGAGCAATGCTTCGAAGGCATCTATAATCAAATACTAATAAACTACTAATGTCTTCTGCTCTGATTGGCCATGTTTCGCAACCATAAAGTAGGAGAGAGCGAACTGCTGAACAGTATACTCATTCTTTAGTCAGCAAACGGATATCTCGCCTTCGCCACAAGTGACGCAGGTTGGCAAAAGGCAATCGAGCCTTCTGTATCCGTGCTGAGATTTAGTCAGTCACCAGGCCATCGACACTGATGAGACTCCCCAGACTAGTGAAGCGGTCAACACGCTCGACTACTTCACTCCCTATCAGTGTTTCAGGTGCCGATGCAACCCAATCTTGAAGCAACATTTTGCATTTTGACGCGGAGAATCGCAACCCAAACATGCTGGCATTGTTGCTTAGGGTGGTCGGAAGACTCTGCATTTTGTCATCATCTTCACCAAACAGTATTATGTCATCATCATACTCTAAGTCAGCAAGCTTGTCTACACGTAAAAGGTCCACTCCTGAGAAGTCAGACGATGATAATGTTAACTCTAAAAGCATGTATATGACAAAGTCAAACAGGAATGGAGAGAGTGGACAGCCCTAACAAACACCGCTTGACGTAAAGAATTCCGATGAAAGTTCGCCATAAGCTCTCACTCGACCAGTAGTGTTCGAGTAGAGAACTTGTATAAGGTTAATGTACTTCTTCGGTACACCTTTTAATGACAGACACTGCCACAGAAGCTCACAATCGACATAGTCAAATGCCACATTAAGGTCGAGAAATACTACTATTGTGGGGCGTCTGAACGTGTGTCTTTATTCTAGAACCTGTCGTAGTGTGAAGATGTGGTCCATACAACCACGTCCAGCTCGGAAACCAGCCTGGTTGTCTCTAGTCTGCTCTTCATGCGCTCTAGTTAGGCGTCCAAGTATAATAGAGGCCAACAATTTAGAAACTATATTAGTTAGACTGATTCCCTTTTGATTGTCACACGAAGACTTTTGTCCTTTCTTATAAATTGGGAAAACCAGGGATTGAGACCAGTTAGATGGGATCTCAGTCAATCTAACTGCTAAAACTGTACCGCCATCTTTACAAATCTCAGGGATCAATCTATCAGGACCCGCTGCTCGCCCTCGCTCCGGATTCCATATAGCTTCTTCGACTTTATTAAGACTCGGAGGACTAATATCAATTTGTCATTCAGGATGACTGGAGATTATGGGCAACCGAAGTGTGGCTGAATGCCAGTTGAACTGATCCCTAAAGTGTTCTGCCCATCGATCCAATCTCCTAGGTTGATAATCAATAAACAGACCATCCTTTTCTGAGATAGTTTAGCTAACTGATGGGTTTCTAATAGCGGTTTCTTTGATAAGGTGGAAAAGTTGTCTACCGTTGCCTATTGCCGCTGCCTTTTCCATCTCTCTTGCTTTCGCTACCCACCACTGTTCGCAATCATTGCGTAGGCTTCTAATCAGCCTGCACTTAAGCTGAATTCGCTGTTTGTCGTGTTCAGAGCCAGATTGGGTGAGTTCGCGAGGGTCTGTCAGTTCGGTGGATGCTACTGAGATACACGGCTTCTTCCTAGTCTTAAGATTTACCTTACTAGCAGATATCACTGCCGTTTCCACAGCCTTTTTCATGTCATTCCAAGCTGTCTCAAGGTGGGCATCACTTACTACATAGTCGCCTAACTGTTTATCTAGTTGTTGCTGAGATATATTCTTAGCTTTATTATCATTAAGTAGAGCCCTAACAAGTTTCCTTGCGATACTTTTCTTGCGTCCAGTAAGGCGCAAACAAATACGCGCTCGCACTAGATCATGGTCTGAGTCTAAACATGTGCTCCAGAATAAGCGGCAGTCTTCAACAGAATCTCTCCACCGATGGCTTATAGCGCTGTGATATAGTTGGGTCCGTCGTTCAGTTGGCTTTGGCGCTCGCCAGGTCAGAAGGTGTTTTACCTTATGCTTAAGGTTAGTGTTTGCTAGGAATAGGCGCTTATCTGAGCATAGCTGCAGCAGAAGGTCGCCTTAATCTGATCTATTAGCTGCGACACCATAAGATTCACAAAGGTGTCTTTCCTTTTCACTTAGTCTATCTACTTGATCATTAAAGTCACCAGCCATTAATACTATATCAGAGCGCTTAACATTTTGGAGAAGTTTAGAGAGGTTTCTATAAAACTTATATTTCATGTCGTCTGAACTGTAGTCAGTGGGAGCGTAGGCAGATACGACGAACTGGCAATGGCGAGTGTCCCTATCTTGACGAATCCGTACCGTCTCGTTTAGTTGGACAGCGCATAAGTGACTGTCGATCGGGATCCAGTCTAAGATAGCTTGTTCTGCCCTAGGACTCAATACTGCACCTACGCCGGCGAGACCACGAGAAGCGGCATCAGTGCTTCCAGAAATACGAAGTGTAAACCTTGTTGTGTCTCTATCTGCACTAGGTGAGACCAAATTGATGATTTTAATCGGGTCTTGTATGTGCGTTTCGGAGACGCAACATACATCGATGGCATGGGATTCCAGAGTCCCAGCTAACGAAGCTTGTTGCTCTATATGACAGAAGGTTCAAACATTAAAAGCTCCAATATGTAACTTAGTGAGGTGTTTCAAGAAATCAGGAATAATGTTTCAGTGGCGTGAGGTGACAAACGATCGAAAGGAGTGTTGGACGAGGAGATAAGGGAGTTACTAAGCGGTGTAGAAAGGATTCGATTTTGACCAATTTGGTCTCGTGTGCTGTCACGGGTATGAGAGTGGATGTCACTTTCAGGCTTCCCACACCGTGGAAGGTTGTTTCTTGAGGGACCTGAAAAGGAAGGTAGACTAGTGTTAGTCTTAGAGACCTGGGAGCGTGACCGCAGAACCACGGGACAACTGCTTGAGGCCGGTCACGCACGGCATCTTTATTAAGGGTTTCTTGAGTATTAGCTCCGCTCATAAAAGCCCTTAGTGGGCACCCTTACCGACGGAGACGGAAATCTGTTGGGTAGGGTGAGGTGTGACATATTTAGGGTCGACCTTTTCTAACCTCTACCTTCTTTGTGAGAAGGCAGCATCGCTGCAGATGCTGGTTATCTGAGGGAAACACCTTACTGCCGTCACACCCCTCCAACACATTCAGCAGTACGACTTAACCCTCAGACCTTGAGTAGCTGCTTTTAGTCTCATTGTTCTCCAATCGATCTGCCTGGCATGGTAGAACCTTCAGGAACATATGTTTCAGCCAGTATAGCTCGGTTGGGTCACCACGATAGGCAAGCCCGACCACCACATCAAGGTGACAGCTACGGTCGGGAATCAATAGACACACACCAAGACTAACGCGTGGTAGTCCTCGAGCTACTTCTAACCCAGTGGTCAAAGAGAAGACGAAAATAGCAAACACATCAGTTCCCCTCTGTACCCAATCCAGTCATTTCATAGAACTGCTTAAATTATTGCTCTATTATGGCTTTAGTTCGAATAAATTGACTCACTTTACAAACTCTAAGACAAGTTGCCTGAGTTCCAGAAGATTTATTGAACTAATGAATTTTTCGTACAGATCATTACTAAGTTTCTTGAGACACGTCAAAGAAGCAACGCTTGATACATTAACAACCCTAGAAAACTATAAATTAGCTTTGGTTACGTACCTAGCATGTTTAGCCAGTAGAGGAATGAACTCCTCCGTAAAATCAACAGTTGATGTAAAGTTAGTATTTACCGTAACTCGAGCTTGCTCGCTAAAAGGAGCCATGGAATCGACCTTCAAAACTATATAGAAAATAAAATATAAACCTTGTAGGCAATCCCAGCATTATTCACTGCAATGTTGATTCCATTAGGATAGGTATTCTCTACAAATTTTAGAAATGCTTTTCGACTATCCGGATCCGTTATATCTAGTTGATGGAATTTAACATTTAGACCCTTGTTATTGAGCTTATTCACCGCTTCCTGACCAAGCTCAACATTTCGAGCTGTTACATTATCAAGCAACAACTACTCACTCACCTGTTAGATAAATATCCCATTCTCCTGATGCTTTATAAAATTCTGCAAGCTTCTCAACAATGCTATACCCAATGCCTTTGTTTGACCCAGTTACCTAAGTAAGCATAATATATCATGTTACGCATAGACTCATCCAACAAATGCCAGCTTCATTACGCTTTCCGCGGTATAACACGGTCTGAAAATTTCAGAACAAAGACAGTAGACATTAAAACATAGTACAAATCTAAAAAATAAGTTATTATATGGAAAGATACCGGATCCACATAGTTTAAAACCGTAGTTAACTAAATTTTTGGTATAAGTAGCAGGAAAACTCTCTTGCAGCGACTAAGCAATGTCATTAGAAGATTTCATGTTGAGGTTCCTAACTGGTCTATTGGTCAAAAACTATGCATGCGTCCGGATATCATATCGGGTGTGAAGTTAACAGAAAACGTGAACGCGAACGACAGTTGGTCGATTGTCAAATGTTGGATCTGAACTATTTTGATTTACTGCAAACAAATCAACTTTCGATGGATTTGTTTCCAAAGTCTGACTTAGTCTAGACGTCAGAAGCCATAAATGGCATGATGGAAACATCTTTCTCTTTCACACAGATGAACGCAAATGGCAGATGCGTTACTTTCGCTAATTGTTTACAGAGACGCGGTGATGCGGAAGTATAATTACTTGTAAGATCCTGTCAACTTTGATATCACAGAAATGCAAGTTGCGTACAGTTAAGTTGGATATTTTAATTTCAGGCATTTAGTAATTCTGAACTCATCAATTAGGAAGTTTTATTTCTTCAAAATTATATACATAAGTTTATGCTAACACTCTGTACTTCGACGCAAGGTAACGGTAAAATTTGGGATGAGTAACTTGAGTCCTCGAAATGATCTCATATGGCCATGCATACAAAGCCACTGTCCGAGAAGTCCTACTCACTGCCTTCTCATAGCAGGGGTGTTGTTTACAAAATTGAGAGGACGAAAAGTGAGTTTCCATCGATTTAACCGTGTTGGTGAGTATGGAGGGTTCATCAATGGGAGTTGGGAAACCCTGATTCCAAACCAATGTTGAACATGGGTTCGAGGAAATTGACTGAACGAATGGCGAATGAATCTATAGTTGGTCATTCGCCACCATGTGACTTTATCTCCTGAAGTTGCTCTAAAGCTTTACGGACTACGTCTTTTGGTCAAAGGTCTGGCGTGTGGCCTTCTAAAAAAGTCTGTTTCAGTTTTGGCCCACGGGAAGTAGCCCAGCAAATCCACAAATTCATCAATTTGTATGGTAAATAAATATGCAGATGCCCTTTTGTAATAATGCTTGTGCTCAAACAATAATGATAAGTTTGGTTCGAAGTCAGTCAGCTACGACGTAAAGCTTCGTACGTAATACCATAAGTTCAGGTATGCCATACCGCATTAGCGCAGAGACGCATTTTGTCAGTTCAAAACCCCACAGTCGTAGAGATAGTAGATGTATTGGCTGT